AATATTATTACTTTTTTTTTTTTTTTTTTTTTTTTTTTGTTACATATTTTAAAAATTAAAAATTATTTTAAAATAAAATTTTTTTTTTTTTTTTTTTATTTTTAGCATAAAGAATTTTTTTTTTTTTTTATAAATATTTTAAAAATTGTTAGATTTATATTAAAAAAAAATTATTTAAATATTACCATTATGAAAATTTTATTAAATACTATTTTAACTGATTTTCTCTTAGATTTAATAAAAATAAAAAGTTTAGAAGAAATTTAAAAAAAATTTTGATAATTATTCAATGTATAAAAATTTTAGATTTAAAAAAAAAAAAAGGTTAATATATATCTTTAAATAATAAACATCCCTAATAAAAATTTTGCGTGTAAAAAGATTTTATACGTGTAAATGCATATATATTAGTAGTTTTTTCTTGTTCTATATATTTGATAAAAATTTTGAAAAAAGAAAGATATTAGAAAAATTTAACTATAATTTTTTAATTAACATATTTTTTTTTCCTATTTATATATAATTATAAATTAAAAATAAATTTTAAGTATATTAGAATTTAGTTATATATATATATGTGTATATAGCAAATGAAAGGAGAATCAGGAATTTAATAATATATAGACTTTTTATTTTTTAGTTTGTTTTTATTTAATATTTTAATTTTAATTTCTAAATATTCTTTGTAATAAAATAATATAATGATAGTTTGTTATATTCACTCATAAAATTTTATCGTTTATTTATTTTTTAAATTAATATTGATTTTTTAAAATGATACAAAAGAAAAAATTTGTATATAATATTTGCAAAATTTAAAACTCATTATCATTTAGAATATAAGAGTAATTTAATATAATTTTATTATATATATATATATATATATAATATATATATTAAAAGGATTTCTTTTATTTTCCTACCATTTTTCCTTTTTTATGTATTTTAAATAGTAACAAAATGGAGTACGGTAATGGAAATGACAAGATATTCGACTTAAATTCAATAAGTAGAGAAAAATTAGAGTTAGTTGAGGTTTTTTATGATAAAATGAAAGATACTACAAATGCTAATGCTTTATATTTATATGCATTACAAATATTTAAAATATGTAATATACATAATGAGTTGCCACGTTTAGTAGTTTTTGGTCAGCAGTCTATGGGGAAAACAACCCTCTTGGATTTTATTATGGGTGGCCCAATGGGATATACTAGCACTGATACAGGAACAAAACAACCTATAGTTATTATATTAAAACCAAGTGAAACTAATAAAATAGAATGCCATTTAAATAAAAAAAAAGTAAATATTGACGACTTACATGAAAAAATGAAATCCATAATGAGTAATTTAAATGAGTCTATTATATCAAAAGAATTAGAAGTAGAAATCTCTATACCTGGAGGGATTTATGCTACATTTGTAGATTTACCAGGAATAAAAGATGACTCAAAAGCAGGATCAGAATTAACAAGAAAAATTGTTCGTAATTATGTTCAAAATTTTCCTAATGATATTTACATTTTAGTTAAAAAAGCATCAGACGATCCAGCTAATTGGCCATATCATTTAAGAGAATTCATATTAAAACCAAGACCGTTAGGTATCTTATTTTTTAATAATCTATATGAATTAACATATTTACATAGTTATTATATATATGTGCATCTATATATTTATGTATAATTTCTACATTTCAATAGGATTAGGATTGCAACCAAAACAGTGCATAGTAGTTGGTACAAGAGCATTAGAATTCTTAAACAACGAATTAAATAACATTAAAACATTATCAGAGTTGTACGAAAGAGTTAAAAAAAGAAGTATTATGGATAATAATGATAATATTTTATCTTTATATTTACTAGAATTGTTTTCTATACCTATTGAACAAAAAGAAAAAAATGATTTTATGACAAATAGAATTGCCATGTATTCTAAAATATTAAATGGAAGAAAAAATGTATTAGATCTATTATTAAACAAATTTGAGAATGATTGCAATGACTCTATTAAAAAAGAATTAATTGATTGCTTTGATGTGGAAAAATTTAAACAGGAAGTAAATAATAAGTTTATGAATATATTAATACAACAATTACGTAAAGTAGAAGTAAAATTAGAAAAAAAAAAAGCCAAGATGGAATTTTATAATAAAAAATTAGAAGAATTATATAATAAAGGAAATATATTAAGTATTAGAGAACAAATTAAACTTTATATACGTGAATTAGTTAATATAATATCTAATTTATTAACAGGTAATTACCCAATTCTAAATTTACCAAAAAATGGGGAGAGTTTTTTAAAAAAATATGGTGGAACTTTGATGGATAATTTAAGGGATGGAAATGATTTGGCTATAGAATTATTTGAAAAAAAAGGATTATATGATGAAAATTTTTTAAATGCTCTACACGAAAATTTAAATAAATATTATAGCATGAATGATTTAAATAAATCATCATCTGAATTTAATTATAATATAAATGACGGCATAAATAATTTAAATAATAGTCTTGATGGTAGTAATCATAGCAACAGAGAAATTTATGATAATTTCAATGATATAGAAAAAAAAAATAATGAAAATAAATCCTTGTTAGTGGAAGGCCAATTAGTAAGATTTATTTTAGCAAAAGAAGAAAGTAACATGTTTGGTATAATTCAAAATTCATCAACCGATGTAAAAAGTAAAAATATTTTAGTTACATTTTATTTTAGGAATAGTAATACAGAAGAACAAGTACAAATTAAATCAGTTGAAAAGGATAGATTGACAGTTATAAAACCTGTTGAAACTTTAAATTGTGATGCATCTTTTTTAAACGGACAACTAGTTTGGTACAAGATGGTGAGAGATGATGGATGGGTAGGTTTTGATAAAGCTGAGATTATAAAAGTGTTTAATAATAATAGTAAAATAAAAGATGTTCTTATAAGAAATATATCAAAAAATGATGAAATTATATCCATAAAAATTAGTGATCTTTATATGGACTATGTAAATGATGAAACCAAAAATGATTCAAAAAAAGAAAATGATGAAGATATAATTAAAAAAATAGCTGGTCCACATAGTGATTTGAAAATACTAAATCAGTTAGCTATTACTTATATTTGCAAATGGTTAAAACATAATATAGCTAAAATTGAACCAGAAAAAGAATTTTCTGATGAAGTATTATTACAAATGATGAGAAGTATTCATAATATTGTTGATCAAAGCGATTGGAAACCATTAGTAGTTGATTTGCTTCAAGCTAATATTAGTGGTAATATTTTGCATTTAACTAAGTTAGCTAGCTGTTCAACCGCTGTAGCATTGAAAAGAGTTTTCAAAGCTGCATTAGGAGAAATAAATAGAAAAATTAAAAATAACTACATCGATGAAAATATATATTTATTAAGTACAAACACCAAGTTTCTTGAAGAGTTAAATCAGGCGTTACATAATTTTTGCAATGAAAGAGCTATTATTTGTTCTAATGAAATGAAGGATATTGTTTTTGAACAAACATATGCTGTTCATTTTGAAATAATTGAAGAAATATTTGATGGGTGTAAATTATTTGAAGATAATTTTCTTACACCAAATGGTGTTAAGCCTACAATGTCTATAATTAATAAAAATGTTAAACAAAATTTAGCTTATAGAAATCATCAATTATCTTTAACAGATATTAAAATAAATAAGAAATCGAAATCAAAGGAATTAATACAAGAAGAAGTTAAGTTACAATTTTGGGCTATTAAAATGCTTATATCCGTTCCGCTTGCTACTAAAATTTATGCACATTTCCTTAATAATGTTTTACCAAAAAATAAACACTTAGCAAATATTTTTGATTATTCAATTGATTGTGAGAGTTTTTTAGAAAAATATATACAAAATAAATTACTAAATAAGGAAGTAAATGGTATTTTAAAAAGCATACTATACAATAGTATATAATATATATGAAAATATATCAATATAGTTTTTTTTTTTTTTTATACCTATTTATGTATGCATAATTTTACAAAATTTTTTTTTTTAGGGGTTTTTGTACCAGTAGATGACAAGGAATTAATGATTCATTACAATATAATTGATAATAGAGATAATATTTTAAGGAAAATTGAAAATCAAAAAAGACTTAATCAATATTTTACAATTGTTTCAAATTCTATTAAACTACTAAAAAATAATGTAAATAAAAAGAAAAACCATTTTATATATATACCTATGTTTAATTCACAACCTTTATAATGTTGATATTTGATTATTTTTTTTTTTTGTGTTCATTCCTTCTACAAATAATTATAGCTGTATCTTTTTTTTTTTTTTTTTTATATATATAATTTCTCTATTAATTTTTGTTCATTTTTTTTTTAGTTATCAAAGGAAAGCACATTAGACTTTGTAACAAAGTTAGATTTTAGTCAAGAAAATAAAAAAAATTGGCACAGATTAGGTACATAATAAAAAAATTTAATTTTTTTTAATATGATGATTATTTTCTTTTCCTCTCCATATTTTTTTTTACAGATTCCTATGAAGATTGACCTTTTTATTATCTTTTTCTATGATTTTTTTTTTCCGCCATTATATTTTTAATTGTCCATATAAAATATAATAAATATATATATATATATATATTTTTTTTTTTTTTTTTGTTCTTTTTAAATACTGCAATAGGAAAATTATATATATATATATATATATAAATATATATATTTTTTTTTTTTTTTGTTTTTTGTCAAAGCATGTACGCTTACATTATATATTCATTTTTAAAAACTAATAATAAAATGCCTATAATTTAATCCATAGAATTCTTATATTTCTTTTTTTTTTTTTTTTTTTTTTTAATTATATAATTAACTCATTCACATTAATTTTTAAGTTACACATAGAATATTATTTTTTATAAAATTTTGATTCAATAAATATTTTTCTCTTTTTATCTATATTATAACATGCAATTTAAGAATTACATTTTTTTCTTTTAAAACGAAAAATATAAATACAAATCTGTAAATTTTGTTAAGGTAATGAAACTTAACTAACAAAGCTGATAAAAAAATTAAAAAAGAACAAAATTCAAATAATTTTCATATTTTCCATTTAAAAAATAATTATAAAAAATGAAAAACAAACTCTTACATATTATATTAAACTTTTTTTTTTCTCCGTACTATATTTGAAAATTATTTATTTTAAAACATTATTTCTATTTTCCTAAAAATTTTTTAATAATTATTATTATACATATATATTTTTATACTTAAGCTTTTTCAAAGAATATTTTAAGATAGTAGTATAAATTTTTTTTTATCATATTTTTTTTTTTTTTTTTTTTTTTGATATTAATTTTTAAATTTGTTTAATAATAAATATCAAAAAAGAATTGTATAAAAATAAAAAAAAAAATGTGTTAAAAACTGAATAAGCGTTTTTAATTTCATATTAATATTTTTCTTATTACGAATTTATATTTTTTATTTTTCAAAGAATAAATGTATTTTAAAAAATTAAAACATAGGAGGTTTTAAATAATTATGTATTTTTTTAAAAATATGTTAAGATAATTTTTATTAGTTAATTAAAAACTTTTCAAAATTTTTTTTTTTTTTTTTTTTTTTTTTTTTTTTTTTTTTTTTGTTTCAGTTTTATTAATAGCATATAATAATATAAATCATATATATATATATATATATATAATTAACTACTTAGTTATGTTATTTATTAGGGTCTTTAAAGATGTTATATTTATATTTTTTATGTTAATTTATTAAATTTTTTTTGATGGATAAAAATTTTTAATTTTGTTGAATTTTTTTTTTTAAGTAATTAATTCACATTTAATAAAATTTTTAATATTAAAAATATCAAGAAAAATATATATATATATGTATATTCATATATTTATGTGTATATATATATATATTAAAGGTAATATATGAAAAGTGTAATTATGATGAAGTCTCTTATAAATAAATATAATAAAGATGAAGAAAAAAAAAATAATATAATAAATAAAAAAAATGATATTGATATAGAAAATTTAACTGTCAATGGAATAAGTATAAATGATATAAACATAAATGATATAGAAGAAAGAATAATAGATACAAATGAAACAAAAAGAAAGAAAAGTGGAAATGCAGTTGAATATTATTTATTTGATGTAAGATCATACAATAGTAATTCTAACATAAATAGTGAAAATTTTGTAGATTTAAGTACTATAAAATCTAGTTATTTATCAGAAAATAGAAAAAAAAAAGCAAAGAAGAAAAAAAGTAATTATATAAAAAAGCAACTTAAATTATATAAAAAAAAGTATAAAATTTTACCAGAACATAATCTAGATCAGGATACAAATTACGAAGATTCTATAAAAAACGAAAATAAGAATTATAAAAAATATGATTTAAAAGAAATAAAAGAAGATAATGGGAATAATGATTTTATACAACCAAAACATAAAGATTCTTTTGATGTAAAGAATGATGTGTTTTTAAGTGTTATAAAATTTATTATTCTTGTTTCCTCTATATTCTCATTAGGATCGTTCAGTACAACTATAACAAAATATATTATTTTTGTGAAAAAATTTAATTATACCCAAATCGTAACATTTTTTGAATTTCTAATTATGTATATAATATTAAGAATAGTAAGCAAAAAAGAAATTTTTTTTAAAAAAAATTAACTCCCTTTTATTAAAATGTGTAATTTTAGTGAAATTAATTGAATTTCTTACATATAATTTCTTTTATTTCTTTTCTTGTCTTTTCTTTTTTTGTAATATAAAAATATTCTTGTATGAATTAAATATAGGTTATTTTCTTTTTGAGAATGAAAAGTTCAACAGATTTATCGAGGAGGGATTATATAAAATATATCATTTCAAGTAATAAATACAAAAAATTTTCCTCATGTCTATTGTTAATTTATCCATATTTATATAATTTTATTTTTTAATAGTTTCAGCATTACTAGGATTAAGTGTTATAACTGGGAATAGTGCATATTCATATTTAGAAATTCCTATTATTTCAGTTTTTAAATCAAGTTCTCTAATATTAATATATTTTTTATCAATCCGATTTGGTTAATTGTTTTATATTATATTTTTATTATTTATTAAAATAAAAATTATTCCTTTTTTCTTAATTTTAATAAATTTTAATAGGCTTGAAAGAATTCAAATGTTCCTTATTATGCTCAATTGTTAATAAAAAAAAAAAAAATAATAAAAATAAAATGATATAAAATTATAAAGAAAAATATTAAATCATATAAAATGTCTTCTTAATTAAAATAAGATATATATATATATATATTTAGAAATATAAGATTTTATGATTGAAGAAAATTGCTTATATTATTTCATTTGTAGCTTACAATTTTAATGGGGGTTATTATGAGTATTACTACATTAAAAATAGATAGCTTTTTTGGGTATTAAAAAAAAAGAAAATTAAAATTTAATATAATACTCTTTTTTCTTGTCTAATTTTCTCATTATACATTATAATATTATAATTTGTATTTCCTTAGCATATTTCTACTAGTGATTTCAGTTATTTCATCTTCATTTAAGTGGGTCTTTACGAATATTTTATTAAAATCAACAACAATTAAGCCACATATAGTTCTACTACATATATATCAAGTGGCTATACTTATTATACGTAAGAATATGTATATTTATACATATATATACTGTTATATTTTACTAAAATATTTTTTTTTTTTTTTTTACTTAATGAAAATATTAATTATTTTTTTTTATTTGAAGTGTTACCAAGTGTTTTTATTGATTTAACCAATATTATTAAAGGTATAGGAAATTAAAAAAAAAAAAAAAAAAAAAAAATGAAATTTTTGTAAAGTTTATATTATTAAAACAAGTTATCATATTTTTTATTTTTGAATTAATATTTTATGTTTCATTTTTATTTTATTTTATTTTTTTTTATTAATAGATTACAATAGTAAGGCTTTAACTATTGATCAAATTTATACATCTATGATACTAGTAGCTCTTGGTGCTATAACGAGTATATTTTTAATTTTAGCTGAATTCACATTGATATGTAATACAATTAAAGAACAATTGAAATTTTTATTTTCTACTAAAAAAATATACTTTATTAAATATATTTCTATGATTATATTCCTTTTCTTTTTTTTTTTTTTTAGCACATACTTCATCTGTCACATTAAGTATAGTATTTATTGGAAGAGAAGCAATTATTTTAATTATTGGATCGGTAAATTTTTTTTTTTTTTGTTAATTTTTTTTGTATTTTTTATTGTATCTTATATTTTTTAATAATTATTACTTTTTTATAAATATATATCATCTTTTTCTTTTTTTTTCAAGATATTTTTTGGTGAAAAAATTAATCTTAGTTCATCTATTGGTATAGGTATATCTATGATTGGTACAGTTTTGTATGGTTATGCATCAAAATAAAATGAATAACCAATCAGTGACATTATAATAAATTATTTTTTGAGTTATATTGTTTTAGTAATTTGTGCATGTCTATGCAATCAAATCATAAACATAAATAAATTTACTTAATATATATAGTAATAAAAGGAAATAAAAAAAGTTTCATTTCTATGTGTATAATGGTTTTTATTTTTAATATGCTACTTATTTATTTATTTTTTTTTTTTTTTTTTTTTTTTTTGTTAATTTTTTTATTATAATTTTACATTAACTTTATAATGTATTACTATTAAAACATTTTAAATAAAATTTTCAAAAACAAATACCATAGTGATATATTAATCAAATTCTTCATTTTTATGTATATGTAAAAGTGATGTAATAGTAATAAAGAGGATACATATAAAAAAAATTTCTATATAGAAGCAATATAAGAAACGGACAATTGATCAAAATCTTTTTACATAGGATAAAAGATAATATTGATCATAATAATATTCATATATAGGATGGAAAAAATAATTAAAAGTAACAAATAAAAATCATATATGAAAAAAATTATTTCTCTTAAAAAATTTAACTTAAAAAAAAAATTATATCAATTTGTAGATATAACTATATTATTAAAAATATAAATTTAAAAAATATATATATATATATATAAAATTGAACCATATAAGTATAGAAAATTCAAAAAAAAAAAAAGAAAATTTTTAAATTATGCATAATAATTAATAAAAAGAATAATATGAAAAATTAAATAATATATATAATTAATGAAAACCTTTTTTTCATTAAATAAGAATAAAATATATGTACATTATGGTAAAAGCAGAACATTTAAAACAAATAAACATGGCATATATATAAAAAAAAAAATATATAAATATATGTATATATATATATATATACACTATTTATATTGATATATACCGGATTCCGTTAAGTATTTAATCCATTTAATTATTTTATAATTCGATTTTTCGAAAACTTTTAAATATCGTATATACATACCACTTGAAGTGTACATAGGAATTTTAAAGCTTAACGTTATTGGCATCTTATACGTGTTTAAAAATTTGACGGTATTCATATTTTTAATTTTATGAACTTGTAAAACGACCTTAGAAAGATTATCTACTTTTTGTGTATTATTAATATTGGAATATATTTGGTTTTGATTTTCTAAAGTTAAATGTATTTTAATGTTATGTTCACTTGAACTTAAAAATTTTTTAATTCTCCATGTTACTACACTTTCAATATTATTAAATTCTGCCTTCCCTATTGATTTATAATTAATTTCAACATTTTCTGAAAATTTATATATTGGTATTTTTATAATAACGTCAGTAGCGTACATAGAGACTTTATAATTTGATTTAATTGTAACTGAATATTCATATTTGTTGGTATTTTTATATTCATCATAAATATTTTTATTATTATTTTTTAAGTTTTTTAAAGAAAATTTTCTATCTAAATTTTTCACATATTGAACTATTGGATTATATATAGCTATAATATGAAAGGGTATTTGTATATTTTTTGTTATAGTATATTTCATTAATTCGAATGATCCATCAGGAGGAGTAAATGTTATAATTTTTGTATTTTCATACTTAGATAAAGTTACACAATGATGAAAAATACAATTATCAATGATAATTTCATCATTTTCCTTTTCATCATTAATATTATTTTTTTTAATATTATTTTTACTTGTGTTATTTTTTAATAAATTATTATTATTTTTTAATAAATTAATTTTATTGTTAGTACTTAATTCACACGTAGGCATACCTGATAAAAAACATTTTAAAGTTACCTTTCCATTTATATGGGCATATATTAAATTATTACTATTAATTGTTACATTTAATATTTCTAAAATATCAATATATATTTCATTCTTTTTGTATAATATATTATTATTTCTCCATGTACAATTTCCTGTAATATAACTAAAATTATTTAATGGTTTGTTATTATTTATGATTTTGTTTTTTATCCTATTTAATGTTTCTTTTCCTATATACTTCAATTTATTTTTTTCATTTAACTCATAACTACTACTATTTTTTAGTGTATTTTTTTTATATGCATCTTTATTATTTGTACTATATTTCATATTTGAATTATCTTTTGTATTTTGTATGTTAGAATCATGAACTATATCTTCAATTACACTATTCATATTTAACAATTCATTACTTAAACTTTGAAAATATTTAGATGTTTTACTATAATACTTGATTTTATTAACTAAACTATTTTTTAAAATATTTATTTCTAATGTTTGTGGATAGCCATAATCAATTATTTCATCACATATTTCATATATTAAGACAAAATTATTAACAATATTTATCCCTGATATGTCATTATTAAAAAAATAATTTAAAATTTCAATAAATTTATATATAAAATTAAAAATCAAACATATATTCGAATTATTTCTTGTCAAAACTGTTATAATTATCTCATTTATTATTACATTTATAAAAAATACATTGTTTATTTCTATTATAGGATTTTCAAAAAACCTTTTTGTTTTAATATATTTATTAACATATTGGCATAAATCGTTTTTTCTAGTTGCATCTCTATAACTTCTCTGTATTAATAATTGCCCATTTATATAAAAAATATATAAAGCATCAATCATTTTTCATTTGTATCAATCTAAAATTTATAAATTATTTTTTATAGCATTTATTAATTTTAAATTAAAATGCCTTACAATAAAAAGTATGTCAAAAAAAAATTTAAATATCTTCATATATTTAGATTGAATATATGCAAAAAAAATAAAATAAAAAATAAAAACAAATTGAGCATTTTTTTTCTATGAATAAATATTATTAATTTTTTATAATATAAAATATTGAATTACAACGAAACAGTAAATTTTTCTAAAATAGGAAAAAAAAAAGTTAATACTATATAGACTGTTATTTATTTTGAAAAATGTAAAGGCAAATATTAAAAAATATAAATAGTATTAATAATTATATTTATAATTATTTCTAAATAATATTAAAATATCTAAATAAATTTATTCTTCTTATATATATTTTTTAATTTAATAATTAAGTAATAATTTGATTAATATATCACTATTTGAATTATGTAAACTTTATTCTCTATATTAAATATATCCTCCTACATATTTATGTTACTTATTTTATTTTTTTTTTTTTTCTTAATAACGATTAAAAATTGTGCATGTCTGTGCATAATATATTTTCTTAATAAAGTATATGTTACTAAAATATATTCATTAAAATTTAGATAAAATTTAAATAAAAACAACATTTAAAAATGAGAAATCATTTCATTATATAAATAAAATATAAATAAAAATAATATAAACATATTTTTTTTTTTTTTTTTTATATATATATATAAGAATATGTAAATTAATGTAAATTAATTTAAATTTTTTCAATGATTTATAATACATTATAATTTTGCTTTATTCTCTTTTGTAATGTAATAGCAGTGCATTTAAAATACTGGAAATAATATAAATTTATTTATAATAAACAAAATCAAATATCAACTAAAATACAGAGTTTTTTTTTTAATATATTTTCCAAAAAAAATATATATTTTTTTTATTTTTATTTTTACTTTTTTTTTTATTTTCTTGTAATGAATACTTTAAATCAATTTTTGAACAAAAAAAAAATTTTTTAAAAACCCAAAATTTTATCCTTAAATGTAATTAATTCATCTTAATATGTAAAAAGAAGAAAAAATAAATAAAAAAAAAAATTGAAGTTTTTATGAAAATTTAGTTGATCTCTAATAAAAATAAGAATACGAAATATAAATATTTTAATTTTTAACATTATGCGTAATATAATGAAAATCAAATTTTTTAAATAAAAAAATTAAAAAATTATATATTTTTTTTTTTTTTTTAAATGCATATAGGATTTATAAAAAAAAATTATTATTAATTGCCTTATAGCAATAAATTTTTATTATAAATTAAAAAAAATATATAATATAATGTAAATTTTATAATAATTGTATTTTGTTTATAAAAATAATTAAAAAAAAAAAAAATAAAATAAAATAAAATGATAAGTTACACTTATATTTTCATGATTTTTTTATGAATTAAATCAAAATTTTGATGAAAAAAATTGTAAATATACAAATTCTTTTCCATATTACTTAATAACTGACATTATTTTAATCTAACTTGATAAATAGGTAAACTTTATTTAATAATTTAAATGTTAAAAAATAAAAAAAAAAAAATTCAAAAAATAATACAATTTCTTGAAAGTAACGAAGAAGATGAGAAAATCTTAGTTGATAATATAAATGAAATTGAACAAATATTCTTTGAATGCTTCAGTAATGAAAATAAAAAAAAAAGTAAGATAATAAATACTTATGTTATTCCGTATATTAATTTATTACTAGAGAGAATAAATAGCCCTGATAACAAAAATCATATGCTTAAAGAAAGACTTTTAACAAGAATACTAACCTTTTTTTCATCTATTTTAAGAATAAATAAAAACTACTCTTATTTAATTATATCCTATTATGTGAATTTGATTGAACAAAAGTATTATCTAATAAAAATAATTGAACATTTAAAAAAAATAATCATTTATTTATTAAAAGGGTTGTTATTTTCAAAAAATTTTTTTTATGATTGCTTAGATAATGCTAAACAGGGCTTTCATAATTACGTTATATTAAAATCAAAAGTTTTCAATATCTTAACTAATTTTCATTTTGATAAATTCTTAATTGAAAATCCTTATAAATATGACTTAATTAAAAATCTTATGCTAATTTTAACCAAGGAAATTCTTTTCTTTTTTCATATTTTAAAAAATAAAAATAAGATATTTAAAGAAACATTAAATGAAGAAAAACATATTCATCATGTTATTAATGAAATGTTCGATTTTTCTTATCTAAATGAGTATACCAATAATGTTAATTTGAAAAAGTATGATGAAATTATATTAATATGGGTGGAACAAAATATTAGCTTGTTTAACGATTTAATTATTTTTAATTTAAGTGCCAATGCAAATGCTAAAAATAACGAATATAATACAAACCCTAATAATAAAAAAACACCAGAAATGGTGTTTTTTGAAGAACAAAAGGAAAAAAATAATGAGAATGTTAAAACAGAAACAAATAGTAAAAAGGAACTTATTAAACAAGAAAAAGTTAATGAAGAAATAATAAAAAATGAAGAAGGAAATAGTAAAGAAACTTCAAATTTCGAAGATGTTAATAAATTAATATGTTATGATAATAACTACAAATGTAATACAGAGGAAAACAAAAATGAAAAATTGTTTTCAACAGATGAAAAAAATAATGTAAAAAATGAAAATAAAGTATACAGAAAGTTTGAATATTTTTATGAAAATCCGTTTTTTAATAGAGAAAATAACAAAGAAGAAAAAGATGAAGAAGAAGAAGAAAAAAAAATATATTTAATTAACAGAGATCATTTAATTGACACTATAGATCAAATAAGTGTGGATAATATAATTTTCCTTACTCATTTAATGAAAAATGTATTTAATTTAATCCGTGAAGATCCTTTTATTATTAATTTTTTTATTAAAAATATTTTTTTGATGATAGAAAAATTATTAGATATAAAAGAAGAATTAAGTAAAAAAGTAAATTACATTAACAGTAATAATAAAGATAAAAATAACATGAATATAAATAATTACAAAGAAAAACTATTTGAATGTATGTTTCACTTTATAAAAAATGAATTATATTTATTAATTTGTAAAAAAAATATTAACTTTCCTTTTTATTATTCATATATAACCCAATTATTAAACTTTATTGGAGAAAAAGGAACTACAGATGAATTAATAAAAAAAAAAGTTGAATCGTTAAGCATCGTATACTTAAATAATGAAAAAGAAAGAAAAAGGAAATTAAATGAAAAAAATTATAACTTTGATTACATGAAAAAGAATATATTGAGAAAAGAGGATTATGGATATAAAAAATTTAAAAATGAAGAAATAGATGTTATGTCTTATTTAAAAGTTAAAATGAATGAGAATGAAAATGAAAATGAAAATGAAAATCAAGATTATAAAAAAGAAGAAAAGGAAAATTTATTTATAAATAAAATTATTAAAAAATTATATCTGACTAATTTTAAATTAGATAAAGAATATTATGAAAAATATGATTGTTCAAGAAAAAATAAATTAACAGATTTTTTTTGTAAAAACCGTTATGATAATATAGATATGAGTAGTAATGAATTAAGTAACAATAATATTTATGAAGATAATATTAATCTTTATGAAAAAAATATTTTAGATAATCAAGATATTGTATACAATAAAAATAATACTGATGCAAATATATGTAATTTAAATGTACTTCAAAATAATTTGATTTGTTCTAGTAATAACATAGAAAGAAATATAGTAGAGAGTTATACGGATCATCATGTTTTTAATGCTGATAATAATACTTTAGATAATAATAATAATAATAATAATAATAATAATAATAATAATAATAATAATAATAATAATAATAATAATAATAATAATAATAGGAATATTAATAACGTTAATAACATTAATGAATTAAATGCTAAACAAAATGATGAAAACATAACAAATAAAATAAGTGTTCAAAATAATTTTTTTAAAATAAATAAAATGAATTACAGTGATATTTATGGAATATTTATTAACGACAATATAAAATACTATGATAATGTTAAAAGTAGTGAAACTATACTTGGAAGTATAGATTTATATTTTTTTCTAATTTTTACACAAATACTTAATAATAATCTTGAAAATAAAGTTCAAACTTTAGGTGAAAATGTGTATATTAAAAAAATTAATAATTTAAAAATTATAAATAATATTATAAAAAGAATAGTTCTAAATGATATGATGAAAGAAAAGCATAAATATTTTTTTCTTACCTTATATATTATAAAAATTAATTCATCAAATATATTCAATAATAAAACATCCAATGATATTTTTTTAAATTATTCTACTATATTTAAAGTATGCAACAATTTATTATTTTACTCATATATGCAGGAAAAAAAAAAAAAAAAATTAAAAAAAATTAAATTAAACAAACATAATGATATATTAGGTTATACAGTAGTTTGTTATAATTATTTTTATAAAATAAAAAAAAAATTGGAAAAAAACAGCTATGTATACAGAAATGAGTTACAGAAAAAAAATTTCAAAATGAAATGTAAATATGATGAAATTTTAAATATTATTATTTATTTTTTACATAATGAGAAACTTTTAGTTAATCATAGAGATCAATATATAAAAACATTCATAGAACAAATATTAGAAACACCAAAGTTATCATTTTCCTTTTTTGTTTACTTAATATTATGGCTAAATAATATAAGTATTAATATTGATTACAAAGGGTATATAAATAATTCAAACACAGATAATTTAACAATTTTAAAAAATGAAAAAAAGGATTTGTTTGTACAAGATATGAGTAAATCACAATTATTAAAAAATGAGGAATATAAGATAGAAGATAATTGTTCTCTTTTAATTGAAAAGGGAATACAAGAAAAAATAGGAGTTAATAAAAACAAATTTGAAAATTTAAGTAAGAAAGAACAAGAAAAGAATATTAGTAAAAATGTTGAAGATAATATGAAGGATGAAAAGGAAATGTCTATGGATAATAAATCAAATGATTCTGAACAAAAAGATGGTAATAATCAATTAAATATGAAAGCAAATGATAGTAAAAATGTTATTCCTCTTCCTCTAAATATGGATAATAGATGTAAGGATAATTTAATTAAAATGGATATGAATAACATAAGATGTAATTCTTTTAGTTATAGCGAATCTGATAGTTCTTCATATTTTGACGTAGAATCAAGTATATGTGATGATGATTTTCCATCTGAAAAAAATATAGAAAATGAAGAAACATTCCTAAATAAAGAGGATAATTGCTATAATAAAACAATTAAGAAATTTGATTTTGATGAAAAAGAAATGATTGAAAATGATAATTCACTAAATATATTAAGAGAAAAATTAAATAATTCTAAAAGCAATAAAATAAATGAAGATAGCTATAAAAGTGTTATTGAATACAAAAATGATTATTCGTTAAATGATAGTGCAAATAATGAAAAAAAGATATATGAAAGTAATTTTTTAAGAGATGATAAAAATCAAAATAATAGTATTTGTAATAACAATATAACCAATGATATCTATAATAATATCAATAACACTGAAAATAATAATAATAATAATTTCAATTTATATGATAATATTGATAATTTAAATAATAATAATAATAATAATAATAATAATAATTATCCCTTAATGAATAACAAAATTATTAATGAAGAAAATCAAAAAGTTGATGAAAAAGAAAATAACAGTAAAATGGAAACCAAAGAAAATGAAATGAGAGAGAAACTTTTTAATATTAACTATTATATTAAATATTCTAAAAAAATTCATAATTCATCGAATTATATTTTATGTTTTTCTTTAATTTCAAATCTGTTAAAGAAAAATCAGAATTTAATTGTAAAAAAAACTATGATGTCAATTTATATTAATACTATATATAAATCAAGTAGTGAAGTTAGAAAACTTTTAAAAAAATTAATAACTGCTTCAAAAGGAATATATAATAATACCATAAATTACCTAGTTTATACTAAAAAAATATATATTTTCTATCATAAAATTTTTATTTTATTTTTATTATATATATGCAACATTTACTTCCCAAATTTAAAAAATGACATTATCTTTTTTTCTCATTTTGCAACTTACTTATGGCCAATAGAATTAATCAATTTTCTTCATAATTTTTTAATAACTAATTTTTCTTTTTTCTATAATGACATTATATCCATTTTTATAAATTATGGAAAAATAAAATGTTATGAGAAAAACATATTTTTTTCAAAAAATTATGAATACATTGATAAAAAATTAGATGAATATATAAAAAATTATGATGATTCAAATTTAATGGAATCTATAGAATGCTTTTTAAGGGAAACAGATTTTTTTAATAACAAAAAAATAAATGAAGGTGGAGAAATGAGTTCTATTAATATTCTCAAAGATACAGATAACCATCAAGAAATAAATAATTTTGATAGAAAGTTTACTTTGAATAATAAAAAGTTAAGAGATATAATAGAAAAAGAAGAAGAAGAAGAAGAGAAAATACAAACGTTTATCAAAAAGGAAGAAGAAGAATGCTTACATAAGAATGAAATATCACAAAAAATATTGCTAGAAGAAATTTTTGTTCTTTTATTTATAAAAACTATAGATATAATGGAAGAGAAATTATTGTTTGATAAATTGAAAAAAGTAAATATATTTTTAAATTTTTTAAGTATTGATTTTATTGATGAGTTGTGTAAGTTTGTTATTTTAAAAATGGAAAATGCTTATGAAAAAAATAAAAGTGAATTTTGGAAAAATTTTGATATACTTTCTAATGAGATATTTGAAGAAGATAAAGCAAAAATAAATGATGAATTTAATCAGTTAGAGTTACAAGAGATTTTTAATTTTTTGTTAAATTCAATTGATAATTTTTTAAGTATATGTGTAAGATCTTCAATATTTTTTCATTTATATTTATTTGTGTATAATAATTGTATGAATACAAAAATAAGGAATATTTTACTAAACAGATTTATAGCTACTTTACCATTATTAAAATCATTATTTCATGAAGAATTTTTTAGAATATTAAAGTATAATAACAAATTAAATGATCAAAGTGAAAATGATAATAAAGGTGAGGATAATAACACCATAAAAAAAAACAATGAAAAATTAAATGATAAGTTAGATGGAGATAATGAGATTAAAGGGGAAGTAGAGGATAAAAAAAATGAAGAAGAAAAAGGAAAAGAAAAAGAAATAAATACAGAATCAATTTGTATAAATGAAGACAATTCATTTCAAATTAATATAGAAATAATAAAATATATTAGTAAAAATCTATATGAATCTTCCCCTAAAGAAATCAATACCAACTTTTTAAATTTCTGTTATAATTTATACTTAGAAAATAATAATTTTTATTTTATTATAGAATTAATTGGTTTTTTAAAAAAAGAACAAACTCTACAAATATTTAATGATATAATAAAAAATAATATGAATGAAAATAAAAAAATTGAAATTTTGAAGTATTGTATCAATAATATTATTAAATTACCTTATTCATATGTTTTAGAAAAAGAAAAAAAAAAGGAAAATGAAAATGAAAATGAATCTTATTATATAACAAATACGGAAATATTTTATTTTTATTATAATTTAAATAAGAATAAAAATATTCAAAAAGTTATGTTAGATTACTTTGTAACGAAAGTTAATTTAAATACAGTGGATGATGAGGAAAACAATAAAATGTTCAATGATATTACAATAAAAGATTTAGCTAGTATAATTCAACAAATAGCAGAAAACACCAATTCTATTTTTCCTATTTATGGAAGATTTTTGTGTCAAATTACTAAAAATATTAATATTTTAAGAGAATTTATTAGTAGTATTATTATTCCTTTATTAATACAAAAAAAAATATGGAATAACAAATTTATATGGAAAGGTTGCTTAATGTGTATATCTATGTTATGGACAGATTTTAAACATTCCCTTTTTTATATTTTTTTTATGTTACCATCGTAAGTTCTCACAAAAAAAAAAAAAAAAAAATAAAAATAAAAATAAATTTATATATATAATGAATATTTCTAAATGTTTATTATTTATTTTTTTTTTTCTAAGGGACGAATGCGCAATTTTATTTCATGCTTTACAGCAGAAACATCCAATTGAAAGTGATTTAATTAATTTAATATCTTCAAACGAACAAGTAAAATTCATATAGTAAAACAATATACATTTCTTTTTTTTTTTTTTAATAAACGTATTTTTTTCCAAATATTAAATATATTAAACTTTTTTTATCAACTTTATATATTTTTTTTTTTTAATATATAGGCAAAAAGAATGTGTCCTGATTATTTGAAGAATTTATTAAATACATAATGTATGTATTATTTAAGAAAAAAAAAAAAAAAAATTTTTATTATATAAAAAATGTCTAATTACATAATATATAATTTTTAAAAAAATTACTTTTTTTCATCCTAATTAAAAGTTTTATTAATGATAAATTATAAAACCTTTTTTTTTTTTTTTTTTTTTTTCTTGTAAATTTTGAATATAAATATATACTTTAATTTTCTTATTTATTATGCAAATTTTTAATCTTTAAAAACATTATTCATTATCTATTTCTTTTTTTAATATTTTTAAGAAATTATAGCAAATCTCAAAATAGGAATTTATTAAAAAATAGTTCTTTTTGTGATTAATATTAATGCACTTATTTTATGAATATTTAAAATAACAAAATACAACAAAAAAAAAAAGGATAGAGATATATTTTTTATTTTTAATATTTTTATGTAACGACAATATAAAATAAAATAAAATAAAAAACGTGATAAAAATATAATAAAATAAAATTCTTTTTAATAATCTATGAGAAAATTTAAAAAAAAAACATTTTTTTAAAAATTTTATTGTAATAAATAAAAAAAAGAATTTTTATGAATTCTTAAAAGATTCATCTATATTTTGATACATAATATTCTTCATCATTATGAAAATTTAGACTGGAACTACAACAAATAAAAAAACAAATTTCAAGAATTTAGCTTTTTAAAAAAATAATAAGAAAAGCAAAAAAAAAAAAAAAAATTACTTTACATAGCAATATATACAACTTAATATTATGATTCCAATAACAAATATTAATAAACCAAGAGATAATTTTTTGTCTAAAAATAAAAAGAAGTAGCGAATATATATATAAATTTATATGCATGCATATATATATATATATATTATTTTATTAGTATTACCATTTATTAGCCACATAAAGAAGTTTACATTTTTTTTATCTTTATTATCTCTTAACATTTCTTCATCATCATATATTACTTTTTCAATATTTGAAGGAAAATCTATTTCTTTTTTAATTTCCTTATTATCTTCATCTTTATTAAGATGATGTACAAAAAAAAAAAAAATAAAATAAAATAAAATAAAATAAAATAAAATTTACTTTTTTTCTAATGATATACATTTAAAAAGAAATATATCAAACTAATATATATATATAATGTATTAAATTTTTCTTTTTGCTTATTCTTTAATAACCTTTTAATGGTTCCTTACAAAGAGTAGATTCACATTCATTAAAATTAATGTGAAAATTTTTATCACAAAATGAGTTTTTGTCATCTATACATTTATTATATCTACATTTATAAGCAAAATTATTCTCACATGAATTATAACAAGGAGACCATTCTTCCCATTCCATATATATGTTTTTTATATCTGTAATAAAAAAAAGAGAAGAAGGAAATAAATAAAAATTTAAGATAAAAAATTAGATATATAGTGATTTTTAGTAACTTTGATAAATGATATATATATAAATAAAGAAAAAAAATAATTTTAATTTTTTTTTTACCTTTTTTAAGTTTTACAATATTTTTCATATTTTTATAATTTCTTATAGAGTTAATATTTATAATTTTAAAAGAAAATATAATAATATCGCTTAACTCATGAGAAGTTAAAATAGCAAATCTTATGTTTTTTTCTTCATTTACATTATGGGATTTATTATATATTTTCTTTTTGTTATCAGACTCTTTTTCTTTGTCGTAATTTGAACATATATTATTCAACATAATATCTGTAACGTCTATTTTTATTAAATTATTTTCTAATATTCCACTTTTAATATTATATTCATTTTCAGAAAAGTTTGCAACACTTAAATTTAAATTAAAAATTTCAGGTAACTTAATAAATATAAATTTTCCTTTTTGTAGTTCTTCTTTTATTTTTTCTATTTTTTCATTTTTTACGTAATTAATATATAAAAAGTAATTGTAAAAAGAATGAAATTCGCATATATGTTTATTAGATGGAATAAAAAGTTCTAATATTTTGTTGCATAAATCAAAACCCAAATTTGTTAGAATTTTTTTTGTATAATTATATATATTACCGTCATGATTAGTTTCCACAAGAAATTCTTGACTATTAATTTTATATTTTATTTCTGATGATGGATTTAAAGAATGATGATTCTTAATTGATTTTATACATATATTATCTCCACTACTTACCTTTTTCAATACCTTATCTTGATGAATTGTCATTACCTCATCAAAATAAGGTATTACTTTATTAAGTGGGATACTTTTTTCTACATATTCATGTGGTAATTCTGATTTTTTTTTATTGTTTATTTTGATTGCATTTAATTTTATTAATGAAAAATATAGAATTAGTAATGTTATTCTAAATTTTTTATATTTACTATTTAAATAAATATTCATTTCTTGTACACAATAAGAGTATTAATATATTTGACTACTTAAATATATTTACTTTTTTTATATTAAATATATATATATAAATAAATATATAAACCTTTACATGATTATTAATAATTATACACAATAATTTCGGAAAAAAAAAAAAAAAATCATCACATGAATAAAAAACTTAATGGTTCTTATTCAGTGGAAATTAATATTATAATTTTTTTTTTTTTTTTTTTTTTTGGGGGGTTATTTCTTAAAATAAATTATCATTATGTGACAACGTGTTTTAAAAAATTTTGTTAGAATAACATATACAATTTATATATATATATATATTAGTTCAATAATAATCTAAATAATCATATAAAAATTATTTTTTTTGTAAATATAGATTTCATATACTTACTAAAGTATATAGAATTCATATTTAAAAATATATGCCAAAAAAAAAAAAAAAAAAAAAAAAAATTGTTTTGCATTCTAAATAATCTTTTTCTTTTATATAAGCCTGTATTTCTTTTTATTTGAATTTGCTTATTTTTAACTATAATTATATCAAGGGAATTTTAAGTTATACATAAATATTTTCTTTAAATATAATAAAAGTTAAAAATAAACAGATTGAATGAAATTAAATTTTATAATATAAATAAAAACATTATTATAAATATAACGTTTCTTTGAGAAAGCTAATTTTTATATATACAATATTTGTCAACTATTTTGTCCTTAATTTTCTTGTCTATTAGACATTCTTATTTAACACAATTAAAAAAAAGTGCATGTAAAGAAGAAAAGGTTCAAATTAAATATATAAAAAGTTTCTTTTTTTTTCTTGTAATTTTTAATATTGTAAAAATAAAAATAATAAAAAATTTTCAACATAAGAAAAAAACCGAAATAATAATTATAAAAATATTTGTTCTAATTTTTTTTTTTAGTAACGAAGTAACATTCGATTATTTTTATGCTATTCTAAATTTTATTCTATAAGAGAACTTATTTTTGGAATTATTTAAAAAAAATTTTTAAATGTGAATTAATACTATTATGATTACCTTTTTTATATAAACTTCATGCATATTTTTATGTTTATAAAGGAGTTATATATATTTAAAAAAAAAAAAAAAAAAAAATACATATGAAACATGGTAAATTTTAAAGAATTTATGAATCACACAAGACTTTATATTTATGGTAATAGATTAATAAAAAAAGTAAAAATTTTTATTTAAATATACTTATATAATTAAAAATAACAAAAAAAAAAAAATAAATAAATAAATAAATTTATGAGAAATAAATATATATATAGTTAGAAAAAAAACGTAGTTTTAAAAAAATATATATACCTGTGCACATTCGTATGTATACTGTTAAAAATATTAAATTTTAAACTAAAAATAAAAGTTTCAGTGAAAATAGAATTTTATATATGCATTATTTTAAATTTAGTTATTTTTTTTTTTTTTTTTTTTTATATATATAAATTAAGCAAAATAAATAAATATATATATATATATATATATATATATATATATATATATATAGAATTAAACGGTAACTGAAAAAATTAAAAGTATAAAAAAATTATAGTGTTAAATTAGTGTATATATATATATAAGTATAATCAGCAATTGAGATTAAAAAAAATAACATAAAAAAAATAAATCAAGTATATATAGAAGTGATGTAGAATTGTTTGATAAATACGAAAAATAATTAAATATGAAAACAATGAATTAAAAATTAGGGAGATTCTTTAACAAAAAAAGTCCTAGTAACAAAACATAAATTAAAAAACAAAATAAAATTAAAGCAAAAAAATAATTTATTCATGATACTTATACCAAAGAGGTGAATATGATTAATAGATATTTTATCTTTAAATTTTTACATGTAATAGTAGTGAATATAAAAAATTATATTATTTTTATTTTTATATTTAATATGCGTATATGAACATTTTTTTTCTAGAAATAGTTATAATTAGTCATACATAAATCTTCCTGCTACGTTTTCATATAATTCTTTTTCTGCTCCCTTTTTTCTATAGAATATATGATACAATATAAGTAATATACATATAATAAGAAGTAATGGTAAAATAATTAAAATAATCTTTAAAGTTGAAAAACCATTGCTTTTACTTATTGTATCACTACATTTTGGTAAAATAGCTTCACACATTTTTGATTCTTTTAAATCTCCTTGAAAACAATCATCATTTTCACGTATACATTGTCTTTCTCTTATTTGAACGTTATCTGGATGATCACAAGTCATTGAGCATGATGACCATTCTCCCCATTCTGTGTAAAAAATAGTTTTTTTTTCAACTATTAATGATGGTTTATTTAATTTATTCTCTAATTTTGTATAACAATAATCTTCTGGTTTTAGTAAAAATGAAATTTTATTTTTTGAAAAAGCCCTCCATTTATCATCCTTGAAAAAGTTAGTTACATTAATTCTAAAACTTCCAGAAGTTTTACTAATTGTAATCTTTAGAGGTCCTTTGGAAATTTCAAATTCAGATGGATTATTTACGTCAATAGTTTTTAATAAACTGACAATATAGGTATTATGTTTACAGGTATTTTTTGTACTAACTGGTACTACATTTAAAATTAAATTTGCCTCATAAGAATCACCTTCTGGAAATTTAAAATCTCCTATATAAAATGTTAAAACCAAATAACTTGTTTTTTTTTTTTCCTTTAGATGATAAAGCTCTAAAGCAGTGTCATTAGAAAATTGGGAATTTTTGACAACAACAAAATCATGCATTAAAAATTCTTTTCTATCAAAATTATAAGATTCCTTAATTTGATCACTACTTACATTACTTTCTGATGTACATTCAGGTTCCAATATCTCGATCTTATAATTTCCATTTTTCTGAAGAAGTTCTATAAAATTTTCATTATTTCTAAGTTTAAAATTATCTGATATTATTCCTTTATAATAAAGAAAAATATAAAAAAGATTATAAAAAAAAAATTTAAGCATCTTAAAAAAAAAAGTAAATAAAATAATAATAATAGGTGAAAACAAAAATGAAGTAAATACAACAAAATAAATTTTAGATAGTGAAAAATTCTATAAAATAGAATAAAGAAAGATAATAAAAAAAAAATATATATATATATATATAACAAAAAAATATAATAAATAAAATAATTAGTAATTTATTAAAAATTTTTATAGTAAAAATTAGAAACGGTATTATAATATGTTTAAAGAAAAAAAAAAAGAAAAAGAAAAAAAAATGAAAGAAATAGTTCTTTCTTAAAAAAAATTTTTCACTTTAAATATATTTTTTTATAAGATTTTAATAAACATATAAAAATTCTTATAAAAAAAAAAAAAGTTAGTCTGTGAATTAAATTATAATATTTTAAAAAGTTACAAATTGAATTATTTTGTCGTTTATATTATTTGTCTTAATTTTAATTTTTCTCTTTTTTTATTTTTTTTCTTTCCTTTTTTTATTTTCTCTTTTTTTTATTTTCTTCCTTTTTTTTTTTTTTTTTATTAAATTTGTAATAATAAAAAAAAATTATTATGTATTATGTATTCTTTCACTTTAATTATCACATATTTATATTTAGAAAATCGATTTTATATAAGAATTTTATAGAACAAATCTTTTCCTATTAAAAAAACAAGTCCTATAAATGCATGCATAAAAAAAAAAAAATAGTTATTAATTAATCTTATAAAAAATTAAAATTTTATGCTTCTTAAAAAACTAAATAATTCTTTATATTTTTTATGCCTATAACTTTAAATTTTAAGATTATAAAAAAAGGTTTATATTCACATAAAGGTTAAAGCCTCGTAAGAGATTGATGCTCAAGATTTTTTAGAAATTTAAGATGCGTAATAAAGTAAAAAAAAAAAAAAAAATTGTACTTATATAATAATTTCATGTTTTAATTTCTGGTGTAAATTCAAAGAAATTAAAAATAATTACTGTAAAACTGTAAAATATTCAACAAATTATTTTAAGATTTCAATTAATTCATGGGATGTTTATTTTTTTTTTAATTAGAACAAATATATACACATGCAACTGTTTTTTCTTTTTTCGTTAATATATTTAAATTAATGGGGAAAAAAAAAAAAAAAAAATAAAAAGCCAATATACAAAAAACTAGCTTATAAAGTAATTTTTTTTTTTTTTTGTTTATTTGTATAAATTTTTATAAAGAATATGTGAATAAATTTTTATTTTATTATATAAACTAAAAAAAAAAATATACTTACATATTTATTTAGTAAATGTCAGTTTCCCTTCAAAGGATAATTTATCTTTTTTATGGAAAAATAAACATGCTATTCTTTTATTTTTTTATGAAAATGTTATTTTAATATTTTTACATAAAAATATATATTTAAAAAAAAATAGGTAAAAGGAAAATTAAAGTAAATTTTCAAAGCCTATTATATTTCCATTTCGATAAAATTAATGAAATTGTTTTATCTAATGTTTACCATTTTAAATATATTTCTTTTACTTTTCTTTCAAATATTATAAAATTGTACTATTTCCCATTTAATCATTTTTTTTTTTTTTCTTCTTCTTTCTTATTCCTTTTGCTTTTTCTAAAAAAGAATTTTGACATGAAGTGTTCTAGGATTTTTTTTTTTTTTTTTTTTTTTTTTTTTTTTTTTTTTTTTTTTTTTTTTTTTTTGTTGTTGTTGTTGTAAAAATTATGGAAAAATTCAAAATTTACTTTTTATTTTTATACATTTTCTAAAAATATTATTTTCAATAAATCATTCGAAATTTATTCTAGAGAACACAAAGAGCTTAAATTTTTTTTTAAAATTTCCAAAGTTGATAATAAGAATTTTTTTTCAATATATGGATCAACATTCATCTTTTCTTTTATGGTTTTAAAATAATTAATATCATTTTTTTCATTTATGATATCAAAATTATTGTTTATAAATGCATCTGACAAAAAAATTAAAAAATCATTGGAATTATTTTTTTTTCTTTCGAGACAAGGAATATAATCAATCAAATCTTTAAAGTTCAGTACACTCGTTTTGGAAATTGTTTTATTTTCATTTTTCAAAAAAATTTTTTTATTCACAAATAAATTTAAATGTTCTGAAAAAGAATGCCCTTTCCTTTTAGAGTCTATAAAAATGGTAAAATTTTGTATGTTATTTATTTCATCTTTTTCAATATATCCTTGAAAAAAACCAATCGATGACAATATTTCATTATATTCACTGATAGTAGATAAATTGTTAAATATATCACATCTATTTTTATATAGAACACGATATTCCAAATTATCTAAATTTTTTACTATATCATCTAAAATTTTTTTTAAAGTATCTAAAAATGTGTTTTTCTGATTTGAATTATATTTCTCATTTTTTATAACTTCCTCTATTAAATCTTCCACTCTGTTTCCATCAAAGAAATTATCTAATGTAACACTTGGTAACTTACAAAAATCCTTTTTATTATGTATACTTTTATTTTCGCTACTATTATTGTTTTCCAATGAACTACCTTCCATACCTGGAGCAATCATGGTTTGATAGGATTGCATCATATCTAAAATTAACTTTCCTTTACTAGTTGACATCACCTCATATGGAGTATTCAATATGTATTCAGGAATGTTTTTACCAACTAAAAAATTACAAACTTCATTAGTAAAATTATTGCAATTCCAATTTACCAAATTATATTTATCAACAGTAAAATCTTTTTGAATACCATTTAAATATTCATGAAAATATGTTTGATGTATTTCAGTTGTTCCCATATCTATTATATTCACTGGATTTATATCATAAAAAGCTTCAAACTCTTTAGGATCAAGGCATAATATACCACCACCTTATAAGAACAAAAAAATATTTTTTATTTTCCATTATATCAATAATTATTTAATATATATATAAACTAAATTTTTTTTTCTTTTTTTTTACCATAAAAATATTCCATATTATATACTAATACCGCTGTGTGCCATACTCCTTCAATTTGTTTTCCTATTAAAAGAGGAGACCATGTTTTAACCCTTAAATGTAAAATAATAATACAAAAAAAAAAAAAAAAAAAAAAAAAAAAATTAATTTAATACAAAATATAAAATTTCAAATGAAAATAAAAATCATATTTTTAACAATTATAAGAAAAATAAATATTTCTTTTAA